GCCGCTCAGTCCGGCGGGCGGCCGGTTGCGTGCCGTTACGGGCCGTTATTCCCGGGCCCCCCGCAGCCTTCACGGAAGAGCCCGCGCTCCCGGCGGCCCCCGCGGCTCCCCCCCCACGTCGCCATGGCAACCGGGACGCGGCCCCGCCCCCCGCGCGGCCTGCGGTGCTTCCTCCATATTAACTGTTTCCATCTGTTCTAATTAAATCAATTTTTTTACATCAGCCACGCAGCTGATCGATATTTATGACGTTAAAATAACTCCAGCCGCTTGCAGGAAACCAAAGGTCCTCGTATGACTCTCTCCAGCTTCTAACAGACAACAGGTAACACCCGTTAAAATAATTTAAGCTTTATTTGGGCCTGGGAAACAGCAGAGTATCCGTAGAACCTGAATTTCATGCCACGGGAAGTTACAACAACAAGCAAATTTGAAATTGGGCTGAATTCTGAGGTGCAGAGTGCAGGGCCTCAGCTTTGCTAAACACAAACCATCCCTGGTTCTGCATGAACATCCATGGACGTGCTGCAGGCACCCAAGTGGTAGGAGAAGTTGTTTTTCCTTCCTGGCTTGAACAAGCACTGAGAGCAAAGCTTCACGTCATGGCAGGCATGGAAACATCAAGTATTTCAACAGGGTGCAGAACAAAGTTGTTTCAAAACATCTCAGGAAGGCCTGAAAACCTTCCCTGACCTTAAAGTCCATGTCATAGTGAAAACTGGCAACAGCCTTGAATGTACTTTCTCCCTGAATTGAGGAATTCTGGAGGTCACTGCACTGGAAATGTGTAGATGTGGCACTTCAGGGCATGCTCTCGTGGCCAAGGTTGTGGGGTTTTGTTGTGGAGGGTGTGTGGTTGTCTGTGGTTTGGTGGGTTTTTTGGTGAGTTTTGTTTGGTTTTTTATTTTGGGTTTTTTTTGTGTTGATGGTTTGACTCTGTGATCTCAGAGGTCCTTTCCAACCATGATAATTCTGTGATTCAGGAACACAGAAAAGCATTAAAATAATCCTATTTAAAAAAAAACCAACCAAAACACTTTGAGGCACAAGCTAAGGCTTAGACAACTTGCATTAAGGCTTAGACAACTTGCATTAAGGCTTAGACGACAAGCACACAATTATGAAGAGGATTTATATCAATTTTACTTGCAATCTGGAAAAAAACCCAAACAAAACCAAAAACTGAACTAAGTGTAGTCTTCCCAAGTCTTCAGATTTTCCAGTATGGGGAAGAACAGTTGCAGCGGGCACAGCAGTGAGGAAGGAGGCTGCTTGGCTCCAGGCTGGGTGTCAAGAGCTAAACAAGCACTGACTATACTCTTCTACTGACTATTTTTATGCCTGGATTTGTAGTTCTGCTTGACTGGAGACTATGGAATCTGAGAGGTCTTGGATAGCTTCAGCTTCCCTTCACAGTATGGTGTGTTCTCCTCTTTGCAATATACTGTACCCACTGCTAGTCCCAGTCCAGATTCTGTTGGTTGCAGGTGTAGAGCCATCTCCTTTACAGAGTACAGCCTTGCTGAGGTGAGAATTCCTCTCTTGGTTAGGGACATGTGCAAGAATTCTATGGAACACACATATTCAAATCCCATCTTCTTGAATTAACAGCATGGTCTCAACTCAGTTGTTCCACGTCAGCTGGAGATCATGTCTCTGCTGCTTTTGAACAGCCCTCACTGGTTCAGCTAGCTTATGCTTCCATACAAGTCACAGAATCATAGAATTATCAAGGTTGGAAAATACCTCCAAGATCAAGTCCAGTTGTCTGTCCTACAACCCATAACCACCAAGCCATCTCCTGAAACACCACAGCTACCTGTTTTTTTAACACCTCCAGGGACAGTGCCTGTGCTGCCTCCCTGGGCAGCCTGTTCCAATGCCTCATTACCCATTCAGTGAAGAACTTTTTCCTAATATCCAGTCTGAGCCTCCCCTGGTGCAAACTGACCCCATTTCCTCTTGTTGCATTGCTGGTCACAAGGGAGAAGAGCCCAACACCCACCTCACCACAACCTCCTCTCATGTAATTTTAGAGCACCATGAGTTCTCCTCTCAGCCTCCTCTTCTCCAGACTGAACTGCCCCAGCTCCCTCAGCCTCTTCTCATAAGACCTGTTCTCCAGACCCCTAATCAGCCTTGTTGCCCTTCTCTGTACCCTCTCCAGCACCTCAATGTCCTTCCTATCCTGCAGTGCCCAAAGCTGCACACAGTGCTCGAGGTGCAGCCTCACCAAGGCCGAGGAGATGGACAGGATCACCTCCCTGGTTCTGCTGGTCTGTCTCTTTTAAACCTTCATTTATTAACAGATTTAGTTGTCTGTTTTGGGGCTGAAATTTTCAAAAGGCACTTATAGGTTATACTTTTGTTTCCAGAAACCAGTGAGACACTTGGTATTTTGTTACACTCAAATCTAAATACTTTCCCTATAGTAAACACCACAGTGACCATTAACTAGTATTTCCTAGTTAAACCTAAATGGTATTTTAAGAGTAGAGTAGTGCAACAAACCTTGTCCATTCACCCTCCAAGTTCTTACAGGATACAACAGTAAAGAAAACAGTAATTTGTGAGGTATTAGCCCATTTCAGATTTAATTAATTTCCTTATTTACTTAATAATCTTCAACTGAACTCGACAGCTAAATTGGTCAGATCCTATGGTACGATACGTGAAAGGTAGTATTAAAAATATTCTCTTGCTAAAAATAAACTTAAGCAAGAAGTAAAAGATCAAAAGCATCTATGTAATTAAAAATTATTAAATCGAGAGTATGAAACAAACTCAGCATTGTGCGTTTAATTAAAAATATTACCCTATAAATTAAAACCTAAGGCTTAAAAATAGTAATCAAGGTCAACAGAATTATTAAAGCAAAGTATCCTTGTCTAATTTGGAAATTTCTGAGTAAATTTATGATTAAACACAGGCAATTCTACTGAAAAGAAAAGAAGGGGAAAAGGAATCTTGACCAAGTTGCTAAGAAGATGCATTATTTTTGTAAGATAATAAAAAGGTTGTTTCAGGTTAAGAGATCCCACCAGCATTCTGCCACAGAGCAGGCTAATTAATAGAGGCAAGAAATTGCTCCCAGTGAGGGAAGAGTAGGGAATACCTTAGCAACAACTCTGGCAATTCAAATTGTGACTCTGTCCTGCAGAAAGCTGCTTCCTCACAACATGAGGAAAGCTGCTTCCTCACAAGATGAGGAAGGAAAATAAAACAAACAAATGTTCTCTTTGTCATAAGTTTTCCTTTATTTAAAGTCAATGGCAAATTCCTTTTGTCTGCTACATCCAGTGTTGGAGCTCGGCACAAGGGTTCAGAGGGTTTAGAAGGAAGCTATGTGACAATGTCACTGTAAGAACAGTTTCAGCTGGCTTTAGACTCACAAGAATCAAAAGATTTCTTTCCTGCAGATGCTCCAGAAGAATATTAATTGTGAAGTTTCAGTTGAGTATCAAAACTGCAATCAGGAAGCTTTGCCTAGCTGAGGTGGCTGCCCGGGTGACAGCTCTGAAAGCCAGTTGTACAGAGGTAACCAAAAAGTTACTTGCACAGCACAGACTTAAGGCAAAGTTGTCCCCATATATTTGATGCCACTTTTGGAGTGAGGAGGAGAGGGAACGAGTTCTCAGTGGCTGGCTTTCCTATTGTGGTTGTGAACATCTGAACATGATGCCTTACTACTGAGATCAGCCTCTACAGCAAAGACACAAAGGAGCTATTAAGTACCTGGTGGCTTGATTTCTCCAGGTTGTCCTTATGTCATCATCCATAGGTGCTGGGCACGCAGTGATGCTGAGACAGCCGAGTTTTGCAGCACTGCTTCTTGATGCATTGATTTTAGTGGCCAGTGCCTGTGCTCTTTCACCTCTAGCAGCAGATAACCTGTGTGTGTTGGCAGATACTGGGCTGACTGTATTAAAAATTAGCTGTTAGCTAACTGTAACTTACACAGCCACTGATGTATACAATAAATACTTTAACTCCAGATGGATCATGTCTGACCATTTAAGTAGCATTCAATTGTAAAACAGGAGAAGAAACAGATCCATACTCAAAGAACATTGTTTGAAATTGATAGTTGCTTTCCTTCCCTACCAACTGGCATCTGATATGTTCTGTCCTTTTTGAGAAGTATTCTTGTTAGACGTATTTTCATGACCTGTGACTGGCTGGCCAACAGATGGATTGTGGAACAGACTGGGACTCTTAGAAAACTGTGGCTGAAAAAAACCAACCCCACAACTCTCAACATGGAAATAGTCTCCGAACCAAAATGATAATCTATATGATTTTCCAAGCCATACTAAAAACATTTCAACTCAAATAATATGTAATAATGTCTTTATTAAAGAGATTGCTTTATAAGAGAACAAACACTTCTCTGAAGGTTTTAACCTTTTGCATGCCAAGAGTCAGCATTAGTCTGAGATAATAAACCCACTTGGGAATTGACAACTTTCTTACTCTGCTGGCAATTATTACCTGAAACTCTCACCACATGTAGTTGGGAGCAGATGACACATTATTTATGCTCAATAATTTTACATGTGCCCCATTTTCAGCCTTATCTTTTGAAAAACAGAGATAAATAGCAATCAATAGTCATGTACCCTTGATTTGTTTTCAGTGTAAGATTCCATGCTAATTGCAGATGTAATATTTATGAGTGTAAATATAAGAATTAACCACTCTGGGTTGGTTTTCTTTTCTTTTGTTTTTACATGTGAATATTTTGGCTTACAAAATTAACAGCATACAGTAAATAATCCTCCCGTACTTTGTACAAACTACATGATTTTGATATACAAGGATTCTGTTTTTATTACAGTGACAATATACAACCATGTCTATTTACAATGCAAAAAGTATATAAACCACATTTTAAACATTCTGCTACTGGCAGCCACTATTATTTAGGAGGTAGCTTTAATTAACAAAATGAACTGAAGCCACATTTCCCATCATGTGTTCTATCAAATAATTTACAATACAAAGATAAAAATTCATTGTATGAACAGTATATACACAATTCTCAAAACAGCAATCTAGCTTTAAATCTTAACAAAAATGTCTCCAGAGTAGCTGGGATGGCAGTGGATTTGCTCTTGATTTAGGT